TCCCTGGACTAAATACACATATGGTCTCAATAATCAATACACATCAGCTTTGCAAAACATGGTAGTTCATCATTATAAACATGAGACCAAAACAAATAATTTGCAGTATGCCAAGTTCACACATGTTTCAGAAATAATTTGATTCCATGGATAATATAATAATTTATCAAAACAGTTTAATCATGAAACAACAATTTAGTTTTCCAACAGCTTAGGGTAGGGGAACATTTATAAAAATATGTAGCATGAAACTACTCACCTGAAAACGAAATAATATAATCCTCGAATAGAGTATGAAAGTCCAACTAATGCTCTGAACAACGTATGAAAACTACACGTCACTACTAATTTAAAAATACTAAAGAATAAAAATTAAGTAACCCCAAACTAAAGTGCACTAACACGGCTCAATCCAACTTACCGTTACTCTTAAATATTACCTAAGTTCATGTTTTTCAAGGTCTAAAATCACCCAAGACATGATTTCAAATCGAAACTTAATTAAAAGTAATTTTAAGATAAAACAGAATTTTAAACTAGTTTTCACAATTTATTCGCTAACTTTGAAAATTAAAAACCTACTCCACGTTGTTCGAAAAATTTCAAAATCCTTCAGATATCAACTAATATATTCTAAGTTTCAAACCCAAATTGTTTCACTTGATTTGCTTATCAAAATAATTATCTACAATTAATTATATCTAAACGGGTTGTTTTCTGTAGCACGTTAAAGAAATTGATGGTTCTCTTAGTATACATGAGCAATCAATACAAGGCCAAAAATTTAAGAAACTAGACTCGTAACCGGTTCTAATGACGCTGATTTGATAATTTTTGGATTTATACCCAAAGAGAACAACATTTCCGAACTTACTGTTTAAAACCAGTTTTCTGGACAGAATTAAACGCATCAGTTTATATGGATTTTGACTCCCAAAAATTATGAAAAAACTCAGATATGCAATTGAATATGTAATTAATCTACTGTAAAAATTTTAGTTCAAAATTCATTCGTTTGATATGGTTTCTTAATTTTTAAAGTTTGTGATTCTGTACAGAATTTTTGGACTAAGAATTACACCATTCATTATACATGAATTCAACTCCTCAGATTTTTTAGCAGTATATATATATACACAAATCACATACACCTACAACCTCTCCATCAATGAATTAAATAACAATAGAATAAGGATAAAGAACAAAAAAAGAAGAGAAGAAAACCTAAGAGGTTACAAGGCACAACACACACAAAGCTCTCCTTCTTGGCTACAACAATAATCTTGATGATTGAATCACCCTTCACCCTCCTTCATAAACCCACGGTTGGCTGCTAGGGCTGCTAGTGTTGTGAACAAAGAAGGGGGTAGGGTTTGTGTTTATTTTATTTTATACTAGTGGTGGGCACACATAGGTCAAATAAATAGATAAATATACAAAACATATAAATAAGTTATATGCAACTCAAATGGTAAGAGCCTTATTTATTAACCCTATGGTCTAGAGTTCAAGTCACACCCTTCTCTCTCTCTATATTTTTTTAACAATAAATCTTGCCTCTTAATTAAAAACTTTCACTATAAATTTATTTTAGGTTTAAAATTAATTAAAAGACCCTCTAAATATTTAATTTGCGCTTTAGGATTCAACATCAAAATATTTGAGATTATAAAATTATTATTATTTAATTATTTACTTGATTTGTATATTCGGGTTCTCACAATTATGGCTATGTTTTGAGAAAAATAATTGTTGATCTTAAAAAGGTTTTGGGATAAATACGTTGGTAAGTCCGGTTAGGAGATTGAGTATCCAAGGTGAAAGATTGAAAATGTGTACGGAGTAGGCATCACGAGCCTTCCGATTAAGAGCCAGTAAAGTGGGGATTAGTAGTGCTTGATATGCCTACTTGTAGACACTAGTTTAGGGATTATCTAAGTCGTATCTACCACCCCTATGTGTATTATAAAATTGACGAGATAATGTATCTTTGAAAAAGCATTGCATATGATTTTCAAAAGGAAATAAAAATATGAATTTTGGAGCATGACATCACATAGCATGCACATTCTGAGATTGCTTAAACGTGTACACTTTATTAAGATATTCCTACTAAATTTTGTGCTCATCTATAGTAGATTTATGCAGGAAATGATATGGTGATTCCGCCTAACTAAAGGCAAAGAATATATTTTGAGAGTACGAGGCTCTTTTTATTTATTTATTTATTTATTTATTTATTTTGTTGTATGTTTTGACAAGCCAAGGATTGTAATTTTATGGGTTTTTGGATAACCCTCCTTTTGTGTAACTGGCTTAATTCTTGGAACTTGTAGCCTTTAGGACATTTATTTTGTGTTATCTCTTTTGTTTTCATAGTCGCACATGTTACGGATTCACTCTTTTGAAGTCTGAATTGGTATTGCATGTGGACTCCTTTTGTAAATTTCTCGCATGAATGGAATACAAATATAGAGATTTGACTTCTTGATTTGAGATTAGTGTAATTGAATAGATTTATTTTTATGTTATTTATTTGGGGGCGTTACACTTGTGGGCCAACTTTTGAATCCTATTTTGATAGTCTGAATCATTCATGTTTTAGGATTCATTGAGTACATCATTCTTATAAAAAATAGGTCGATCAAATAACAGCAACCATGTGCTTGTATCAATTTTGTATGAAAAAAAAAAATGAACGGTGAGAAAATAAACGATTTATACAAAATTGATCTAAGCACATGATTTTCATTATCTGATCGACTTGACTTTTTGTAGGGATGATGTACTTGACGCACCCTAAAATGTGAATGGTTTGGATCATAATTGAATGTTTAATCCGCTATTAAAACCCCTAAATTAACTCATATTGACCATAAATCGATAAATTATGATAGTATAATTTATACATAATGTTTAAATTTATTATTATAAAATATTTTTACTAATTAATTGTCAATTTTTTAGATTAAGTGTAAGATTAAAGCTAAAATATGACATAATTTAGGGCAGTTCTATCTTAAATAATTTTTTAATATATGAATATATGTAACTATTTATTTCATAGTGTTAACATAAATATATATTTTTTTACCTACATTCAAATTTTTTAATAGACATGCATAAACTATGTTCATATTTCCTATTTAAAAAATAAAAAATACTTATAGATATTTATTTACCAATTTAATAAATAAATAGGTCAAATGATTCATAAGTTTGGCATAGCCCAAGATAATTTTTAATGATTAGACAAAGGTCACGTTAAAATTAAAATGAAACTAACTTAATTAAAATTTAAAATTTTAATTATAAAAATTATTAATCTTATACTTATAATTTTGTTTATGAAAAATCATTTAATTTTAACAATTAAAAATAATTTTATTATAAAATTTCTAATAAGTTAAAATTATTTATCAATTTTTTCACGAAAAATTGAATTTTTTTATAACAATTTATAAAAAATTAAGATTTATTTGTTAATATTGAAATTTGATATAAGTCTATAATAATTTTCGAAACAAAATAGAACTTATTGATAATTTTTTCATTGTGATTTATGATTTTTTTTAATATAATATTATAATTTGTAAAATTAAAAATAGTATTTTATTAAAAATATTTATGCAATTGTTATTCATATTAAATGAGGGGTAAACTTGAGATAACATCCACTATTATGGAGCAATATGAAAAATAAGATTTAATTGTCCATATTAAAATTTGATAGTAATCTTAAGAACAAAATAAGATTTATTGATTATTTTTTCAAATTAAATTAGTAAATTTTTTTAATCATGTCTCTCTACTTGCTTCAGTTTTTTATTCATTTACCTCTTCTCAACTGCTACTTTTTTGATTCTTTTCACTGTGATTTATGATTTTTTTAATATAATATTATAATTTGTAAAATTAAAAATAGTATTTTATTAAAAATATTTATGCAATTGTTATTCATATCAAATGAGGGGTAAACTTGAGATAACATCCACTATTATGGAGCAATATGAAAAATAAGATTTAATTGTCCATATTAAAACTTGATAGTAATCTTAAGAACAAAATAAGATTTATTGATTATTTTTTCAAATAAAATTAGTAAATTTTTTTAATCATGTCTCTCTACTTGCTTCAATTTTTTATTCATTTACCTCTTCTCAAAATTTGAATTGGGAGTTGTGCAGCCGTAATTGTTGACTTTTAATGAATAGTGTTAACTTTTTAACTTTTTGAGTAACTTTTTGACTTTTTGACTTTTTTGAAAGTATCCAAACTTGGCCTAAGTATTATAAAATAAAATTTTATTTCACATTTTCCTCATTTTTTCTTTCACAATTCCTACGAAATTTATGATTTAAACACTGCTTTAACATCGCTCAATCACTTGTATTTTTAATAAATTACTTGAGTTGTTGATTCCATAATCCTCTCTCAACTTCTTCAGATTTTGAACAAAAATTAGGGTTCACACCCTCTCGTATAGAGTATAATTTTGAACAAAATAAAAAATTCCACTGTTAGCTGTAAAATTAACATTTTCTTTTGGCTATGATATCCTCAAAACTAACTTCTTCTTTTCTTTTCTTTTTTCATGAGCTTTCCTACAATCCTTCAATTAGATGATTTTTTGATGTATATATATCTATTAATTTTCTTCTATTTTCCTAACATCACCAAAAAGCTTTTTTTTTAAAAAAGAACTTTTTTCAATTTCCCCCTCCCCCCTTATCTTTCCCCTTTACAAATTCAATATCCAAACATATATCACTTTCATGTTAATGGATTATTACTCAATTTGATTTCAAAGCAAGGGGAAATATTTTTCTCAAAACAAAAGGAATGTGATTGTGATTAAACCCCTACTTTTGGTTACTTCTATTAAAATGCAAGCTATACGCTTGATAAATATTCTTCTACAATTAGTACCTTTTATTAGTACATAATACATACATATATATATATATATATGACCAATAGTATCCATGACAACTATTAAATTTGCTGGCAAAGATATCATAGCACTTTGAATTATGAATTTGAATAAAAATTTGAAAAGAAAAAAAAATGTCAGTGAATTGTGAATAAAATACAATTACATTTCACCTATATTTCACTCACCTTTTTTCTTTTCCTTTCTAAATTCCTACTTAAATCCATTATCCAAGCACAACTTAAGTAAAAAATAGGAATGGCCATATGGTTTTTACATGTAACATCTTTGACATCTTTGATTTGCTTGTGTTTGATCCTACTTCAACCATGCTTGTTCTCTCTCTCCCCCTCTCATTTTTTCTTAGGCTAGCTATATCAGGAAGAAGCATACCCCTATCTCCCATCCATTGCAGTAAAGGAAACCCCATTTATTGAATACTTTTCTGACTTGCGTTGTTGTAAATCTTCCTCTACGACATCGCTTCTAGAGACAAATGCTGGTTTCTTGGGCAATGGCAAAACTATATTGCCATTGTTTAACATTGAAATAACATCTGACATGGTTGGCCTATCGACTGCACGATCTTCAACACATAACAGACTCAAATGAATACATCTCATCAATTGCTGACTTACACATGAATCTCTAAGTATTGGATCCATGATCTCCAGTGCAGCATTTTTGTTCCATAACTCCCATACCTACAGAAATAAAATTAAAAAAGGCATATGTTAGCAGAGAAAAATGTGCGATTAAAGCTGAGTTTTGCATTACTTACATATCCAACTAGGTTAAGTGGACCACTAAGATGATGGAAGCTATTGTTCTTCTGACCGCTCACAATTTCAAGCATTAGAACTCCAAAACTGTAAACATCAGTCTTAACGGAAAAAATACCCTCCATAGCATACTCGGGAGCCATATAACCACTGTAAAATAATATAAGAAAACCATTAGAATGGGAGTTGATTGATAATAGGCATGTGGGGATACAAATTTATTCGTTTACTTACTATGTCCCAACAACCCTTTCCGTATTTGCTTCTAATACATTCTGCTTGAATATTCTTGCCATACCAAAATCAGAAATTTTAGGGTTCATGTTTTCATCAAGTAAAATATTGCTAACTTTCATATCTCTGTGAATTATCTTCAATCTTGAGTATTTATGAAGGTAAAGTAGTCCTTGAGCTATCCCTTGAATGATATTGAAACGTTTCTCCCAAGTTAATTGCTCTTTCTGAATAGGATCTACATTGAAATTACGTACTCAAAACTTTCAAAGATTAATATAAGAACACATTAACTATTGAAAATAATGCAAATTAATAATGTAGTAGATAAAAATGAAGTATTACTAACCAAACAAAAAGAAGTCCAAACTTTTATTGAGCATATACTCGTAGATTAACATCTTCTCATTTCCTTTAAGGCAACATCCTAGAAGACGAACCAGGTTCACGTGTTGGAGTCTGGCTATGAGCATGATCTCATTTTTGAACTCCACTACTCCCTGTCCCGATCTTCTTGACAGTTGCTTTACTGCTATTTCGCATCCATCAATCAATTTTCCCTGAAATAGAAATTCATTATCTGGCAACTCAACTTTATACTTATGGTTAATAAGAACATCTTCCTTCTGATTGTTAATTAGTTTTCGTTGGCAAAGTAGTAGTATAAAATGAAACACATCTTAATTTCTCTCAATTTAAGTTAAAATGACTGATATATGTGATCTTTGGTTCACTTGAGTTGTTTATGAAACATACCTTGTAAACAGGTCCAAAGCCACCTTCTCCAAGCTTGTTTTCAGATGAGAAGCTATTTGTAGCAGCAACAATATCTTCGAAATTAAATACTTGAAGATTATTAACCTTGTTTTCATCGTTTTCAACTTCATGATTTGTGTCCACATATCGAATAGGTGCAACTAGTTCGTTTAGATCATCTTCCCCTATGAATTTAGTTTAACATACAAAACCAAACTTGTGATTTAAAGATTTGGAGAAAGTCCAACGAAAACAAATCTATTATTTGTTAGAGAGAGATATACCTCGGAGTCTAATATTTCTTCTCGTTCTTAGGAAGCACAACAAGCTGAAGACAACCACAACAAATGCAACTGCCACAACAATGAGAATCCATATCCACTTCTTCCCTGAGTTCCCCAGTAAAGATTATAGTAGTTAAAATCCATATCCACTTCACAAACTTTAATAAGTACAGTTTTAAATTTTTTTCAAAAATTTGTTATTATTTTGAAAATGCGCCACTGAATTGTAATTTCCTTTTCTTTTTATTTTTGTTCAGTTGAAAAAAAAATGCAGTCATACAGACATATAAGCAAATTTTTTAAAACCTTGTTGCAATGTGCGTGTGGGGTTTGGGAAGAGTGTTTCTAATCCGACTGCTACACCTACAAATTGTATTATATAATACATTTTATTGTATATGCATATATATAGGTGTAATGTTTTATATTGTTTTAACTTTACTTATAAGTTATAAATTATGCGTAACAAGTTTAGTGAAATAATTATTTAGAAAATTTGAAGTCACGTATATTTTTTCAATTTTAAGATGTGACAAGAATTTTTTATTTTATTTTATTTTATTGTGGGTGAACTTGAGAATATAGGACGAAAATGATTTAACAAATATAATTTTTTTGTATAGAAAACTCTCAAAATGATGTGGTGCCAGAGGTACTTGTGAAAGAGAGACTAGAGCATCTAGTTAGGCCTATGGAGCCTACTACATGTCCCCTTTTTCTTTTTTCTTTTTTTTGACTGTTTATGTTGTGAGCCCCGTATGTGAGTCATCCATAGGAAAAAAAAATTAAATTCATCCGATAATCTAAACCACAACGTTTCATTATATTTGTTTTAACAAAATGAATCATTTATGCTCAAATATGTTGGAATCATAGAGTTATGATTATCAAATCAATCAAATTATCATATATTTATGCTCAAATATGTTGGAATCATAGAGTTATGATTATCAAATGAATCAAATTATCTTATCTGCATTTAACGACTCACAAGAAAATGGCACAGATTGTCATAATGGGATCTGTAGGCCCAAACCACACTTCTACATAGAAAATTTCATTCCCTTTTGAAACTACATATATAATGTTATGAATCCTAATGAATATACTAGCAAGCATGGCAATTAACAGACAAGACTAAAAAAAAATCTTACTTGGTGACTCTGGAGGTGGCTGCTCTGACATAAGAACAAAAAAAGGCACTGTAGCACCAGTGTTGTCTTGTTGGAACTCTTTCTTTGATGTCCAGAACAAGCATCCAGGTGCATAATCACCCTTAAATCCAGTGCAGTTACAATTATTCCAACACATGGCTCTACAATCACTAAGACCAAGGCTCTTGCTATAATCACTCCTCGCCGGTTGTGGCCTGTCAACATCATTAAACCCTCCAGATCTGTTTTCAAACCTCTGGTATCGAGTCCTGCACTTGGGCTTCTCCCAAACTTGGCACCCACCACCATCACTACTGAACCCATAACACTGATCAACTTGTGCAATTACATATTTATCTCTATCTCCTCCATCATATACATTTCCCAAGTAATTCAACAACCATCCTCTTCCTGATGCAACCTTTTGGTCATTCACGAGTGAAGAATAGGTGAAGTACTCCTCATCCTTGGTAGTAACATAGGAAAAATTGTAATTGAAATTTGAATTCCCATCAGTCTTTATAAACTCAAAGTCTTTGTCACCCAAGAGAGCTCCACTAGTCCAATATATCAACCCTCGCCTCCTGACAATCAACTGGCGTGTATTGGGATCCCAATCCATGGTGAAAGCCCCGGGAGATGGTATGCCTTGACTGAACCATGCCGTGAGTGACCAATTCAGGCCAGTCCTGTGGTTGACCCCAAGCTTCATCCCTGGCAGAAGCGTGTCGGTGGGATAGTCGAAACTTTCCCATACCCTTTTGTTGGATCCATTATTGTTGTTCACTTCTTCTGTCACAACCAAATTGCCAGTGTCCAAGAGAGTAGCAATAGTGCTGTTGGTGCTGTTCGGACCATGATATAGCTCCATAAGAACCCCTCCGTTATGCCTTATGACAAACGTGCCGGTACTGTCTATGGTGAGAACACCAGAATTGTTGGCAATAGGTTTGTCTCTGTTGGCAACCCATACCGGGTGATTTGGATTACCGGAATACCATATTCCTAAGAAACTGTCATCGGAAGACCCCTCTGGAGGGATAAAGAATCCCAGTGTGAAGACTTTTTGTGCAGAGACTAGGAAAGTGGAGGAAGAGAAATTGAGCTCATCACCTTGTTTGAGTGTGTCTGATGATGATGAAGCAAGAGAGGCCAAGAAAATTGGAAAGAAAATTCTGATGATGAACATGAAATTTTCCTTGGCGATTGCAGCCCTACTCAGCAGGTGCGACACATTGATGCTGTCTAAATGGGGTCTTCACATGGTGGGTCTAATATGGATACAAATTCTTATATTATACTATTCTTACAGGTCAGCTGGATTAAGTTGACCAGATCCTCTATGATTTACATCAAGTTTTTTATTTTAATTTTTTATGCAATGTGACTCTTCTTGTGGACTAATACGACTTTGGATAAGATGTCGGTGCCTTATAGCACCGCTACTAATATAGAAACCAATTATTTATAGAATATATGCATTTATATACTTATGGGTCCCATATCAAATAAGGACATGTATGTGACAGTAGTTGTGTTTCTATTTATTTATGTGTTAATAGTATTTTTACTGTTATTTTGGAATGTTTTATTGGCCTTTGGCTCATAATTAGTCACACATTAACCTTATCAACACATAATTCTGTGTCGTTTGTCTTAAAAGAAACACTATCAATTGGTCGCATACTCTTTAGTAATTTTAAGTACTTTTGGACAATTCCTTGGTAATAGACAATCAATTTGCCCAAAAAATTAGGTACCCATCAGTTCTCGCTTTGTTTAGTGTAAAAAAAATTAAAAATTAAAAATTAAATAAAAATAAAAAAACTGGTCCCAACATATCACTGAAATAATAGTGGCACACCATATTTCAAAATATATGGATACATATTATTCAAACTGAGGTGCAATAATCTAGTTTTCTTTTAAGGAGATTCAAGGTCTTCATGATTGGCAAAACCTTTATACTCAATGCAGTATAACGTCTCATATTGGCTTGATGTATTGATGTTAAAATCCACCTACTCTCCACCTACTTCACCCACTTAAACCTACTCCACTAAACATAACTCACTACACCACTACCACCTCACCTACTCCACTAAACTTAACCCACTACACCACTACCACATCCACTTCACCTACTCCTTACCTACTACACACTCACCCTCTTCTATATATAGGAATCATGAATCATTGTAATAGATATCAATAAAAATCAATCAATAATATAATTCTCTATTTCTTTTACATGGTATCAGAGCAGGTTTAGAACCTTAGTATAGTGGAGTAGGTGAGGTGGTAGTGGTGTAGTGGGTTAGGTTTAGTGGAGTAGGTGAGGTGGTAGTGGTGTAGTGGGTTAGGTTTAGTGGAGTAGGTGAGGTGGTAGTGGTGTAGTGGGTTAGGTTTAGTGGAGTAGGTGAGGTGGTAGTGGTGTAGTGGGTTAGGTTTAGTGGAGTAGGTGAGGTGGTAGTGGTGTAGTGGGTTAGGTTTAGTGGAGTAGGTGAGGTGGTAGTGGTGTAGTGGGTTAGGTTTAGTGGAGTAGGTGAGGTGGTAGTGGTGTAGTGGGTTAGGTTTAGTGGAGTAGGTGAGGTGGTAGTGGTGTAGTGGGTTAGGTTTAGTGGAGTAGGTGAGGTGGTAGTGGTGTAGTGGGTTAGGTTTAGTGGAGTAGGTGAGGTGGTAGTGGTGTAGTGGGTTAGGTTTAGTGGAGTAGGTGAGGTGGTAGTGGTGTAGTGGGTTAGGTTTAGTGGAGTAGGTGAGGTGGTAGTGGTGTAGTGGGTTAGGTTTAGTGGAGTAGGTGAGGTGGTAGTGGTGTAGTGGGTTAGGTTTAGTGGAGTAGGTGAGGTGGTAGTGGTGTAGTGGGTTAGGTTTAGTGGAGTAGGTGAGGTGGTAGTGGTGTAGTGGGTTAGGTTTAGTGGAGTAGGTGAGGTGGTAGTGGTGTAGTGGGTTAGGTTTAGTGGAGTAGGTGAGGTGGTAGTGGTGTAGTGGGTTAGGTTTAGTGGAGTAGGTGAGGTGGTAGTGGTGTAGTGGGTTAGGTTTAGTGGAGTAGGTGAGGTGGTAGTGGTGTAGTGGGTTAGGTTTAGTGGAGTAGGTGAGGTGGTAGTGGTGTAGTGGGTTAGGTTTAGTGGAGTAGGTGAGGTGGTAGTGGTGTAGTGGGTTAGGTTTAGTGGAGTAGGTGAGGTGGTAGTGGTGTAGTGGGTTAGGTTTAGTGGAGTAGGTGAGGTGGTAGTGGTGTAGTGGGTTAGGTTTAGTGGAGTAGGTGAGGTGGTAGTGGTGTAGTGGGTTAGGTTTAGTGGAGTAGGTGAGGTGGTAGTGGTGTAGTGGGTTAGGTTTAGTGGAGTAGGTGAGGTGGTAGTGGTGTAGTGGGTTAGGTTTAGTGGAGTAGGTGAGGTGGTAGTGGTGTAGTGGGTTAGGTTTAGTGGAGTAGGTGAGGTGGTAGTGGTGTAGTGGGTTAGGTTTAGTGGAGTAGGTGAGGTGGTAGTGGTGTAGTGGGTTAGGTTTAGTGGAGTAGGTGAGGTGGTAGTGGTGTAGTGGGTTAGGTTTAGTGGAGTAGGTGAGGTGGTAGTGGTGTAGTGGGTTAGGTTTAGTGGAGTAGGTGAGGTGGTAGTGGTGTAGTGGGTTAGGTTTAGTGGAGTAGGTTTAAGTGGGTGAAGTAGGTGGAGAGTAGGTGGATTTTAACAGGTGCATAAGCAGCTTCCATTGCTTTTTAATTTTCTTTGTTTTTTTTAAAAAAAGGGTGGTCCATTAAGAAACAAAAACAATCCAAAAAGAAAAGAAAAAAATGCTTTTCAAAATTTTCATTGATCCCATTTTCCAAAATTAGATATGAGAAACTCCAATTCAGTAAACACATATGAAAGGAAATCTTTCCAGATATGCTTACGTAGTACATCTACATCCACAACCTTTTTGCACAATGTTCACTGCTCTTGGAAACAGAAAAAATGAATATGTGACACATGTCCAAAGAAGTATCTCCAACAAAATTTCCTCAAAGTATGCGCGAGCAGAGATAAGTGTGCTAAAGGCGGAAAACAAGGAGCTGAAGCGGAAGGCCACCGTGATGTTCCGTTTTGGAGGTCCGCCATATGCTGCAGTGGAGGAGCAGGGAGTAGTGATCGTGCCCAGTGGAGTGGGAAACACGGAGGCAACACCGTCAAGGGCCGCCCAGGACGGAGGCAAGAAGAAAAGACCGGCGGAATAGGCGAAAAAGTGAGGTCGGTGGGTGGCCGTCTGCAGAAAAGAAAACAAATCTTGTGGTGTTGTGGTTTGTGTTGTTGTGGTTGTTTTTTTTTTTTTTTTTTTTTTTTTTTTTTTTTTGGAATGACATAAGACGGAGCAGAAATAATAATGAAAAAAAAAATAAAAAGAAAAATAAAGTGAAAGAAACATAAAAAAAAAAGAAAGAAATAATAATATATAAGTAAAATCAAAACGAGAGAGTGAGGGAAAAAGAAGATTGGTGCACGTGGGTTTCTTGGCCCACGGTTTTGTTAAAACCTGCAATGGTTTTTTTTATTTTTTATTATTATTTTTATTTTATTTTAAAAATGAAAAAAGAAAGATAAAAGAAAATAAAGAAAGTGGAGCAACGGAAGTGGACAGCTGGAGTGAAGATTGGGTTAAAAAAATAAAAAAGGGTATGGATATGTGCAAAAGGTGGTGAATGATGGGTTGGAAAGTGATCACTCTGGTGGAGGTCCTTGAGTAGAGAGAGAGAAAAGTCATCGATATAATTCCATTCATCACACAATTAGCTGCCACTCCCAAGCTTGTCCCACGTGATGGGCCACATCCCAATCGAGAACGTGGCAACATATGCTAGGACTGACGTGATCGCCAAAGCAACGGCCCAGATCAATTTCTTCTCCGAGTGATCTATAATAGTCAAACTCACCCCTAGAGTCGCCAGGGACACGACCATACCCGCAACGCACTGAGCCTCCTCTTTGGAGTTGGAGGTCTTGTCCAGAACTCGCTTGGCGTCTCCCAGCCGACCTTGTAAAACGAGCCACCGTGGCGATTCCGGCATGGCGAGGACCCCCAACGCCAAGAACATCGAGGGAATCACTCCGACTCCGAGCATGAATCGCCATCCTAATTGAAGTGGAAGCTTCGAGAACGCATAGTTTGATACATATCCCAGCAATACACCGGCGTTGCCGAAGAATTCGGGGAAAGAGCCAAGGAAGCCACGACAGTTGGCGGGGGAGAGCTCGGCGGTGTAGACGGGGGCGATCATGATGGCGTAGCCAGCGCCGATGCCGGCTACGAAGCGACCGACCATGAGGAAGGCGTAGTTGGTGGCGAAGCCCATGAGGATGGCTCCTAAGAAGTGGATGGCGGAGGCGACAACGATGGTGTACCGGCGCCCCACCCAATTGGAGGTTTGGCCCGCGGCGACGGAACCGAGGAGGCAATAGACGTTGAGGATGCCCATCAGGATTTCCAGCTGCACGTCCGAGATCTTCAGGTCATCCTTGATGAACGGTCCTGCTCCGCTCATCACCCCAACATCATAACCAATTAACATGGAAGTCATGGAAGCTAAAATAGCACAAGCAAAGGCATACTTGTTTCGTGGATCGAGGCCTGGAATGGGTATTTGAGTTTGGCTGGAAAACCCATTGTTCTGAGGCTTCCGGTCAGCCATCTTTAAAAGAGAGAGAGGGTGTGGGTATTTCTGGTTACAGAGATTATTGAAAATTCAAATGGACATGCACAGAGGATATGTGGAGAGTTGTTTTGTTCTTGTGTTGCTGTGGTGTTCGACGAAATGTCCGAGAGGGATTTTGGGTTTGCTTCGGCGAGGTGGTGAAGAAGAGTGAAGGTATGTGTAGAGAATTTTAGCGGACTAGGTTGAGGTCCGGCGGGCAGCCAAGGCTTATACATCAATATATTTTTTACAATTGACTTAGACCAGCCTTCTACAAAGAGTCCAAAGCTCCGCTACAAAAACCCCTCTACAAAATATCTGAAATTCTCTAAATATGAAAACGCAATACAAAAAAATAGATACAAAAATACATCATAAATCTCTACATGCACACTGCTGACACATTAACCCAAATATATAGCAGTATGTAACTCCATTCCATTAAAGAGAGAACTATAGTTTGAGAGTAGTGACTTGGTTACTCTCTCAATGCATAAAACAATTGCTACCATTAACAGCATGAGAGAAGCCTTACATTACACAAGCACCTCCTCTATAACACTAATTTAATTATAACATTGATTCAATTAACATTTCAAGTGTAATGAGAGTAAGCCATATGAGATTGTCTGTTGCACAATAAATAATTATATTTTTGATGAGCCATACCTCTCTTCTCTATCTTGCAGCATCCATGGTAGAACTAGAAAGTCCATTCACTGAATATTTTCCCAACTTGCTTTTGTTTGAATTTTCTTCACCAACACTGATTCCAGAGACAAATGCTGGTTTCTTGGGCATCGGCAGAGTTATGTTGTCATCGATTAACATGGAAATAACATCTGACATGGTTGGCCTATTGACTGCACGATCTTCTACACATAAGAGACCCACATGAATGCATCTCATCAATTGTTGTCTTATAGATGAATCACTACTTAGCATTGGATCCACAAGCTCTAGCGCAGCATTTTTGTTCCACAAGTCCCATGCCTGCAATATCATGATTGTTGGTTGGGGTGTTGCTAGTGCCAGTGTTGTTAGCAAAACATATAAACTTGAATGTGAATTTTATAATGCTTACATATCCCACTAGGTTAAGTGGCCCATCAGCATGGTAGAAACTGTTGTTCTTTCGACCACTCACTATTTCAAACATTAAAACTCCAAAACTGAACACGCCAGATTTGACAGAGAAAATGCCCTCCATGGCATACTCAGGAGCCATGTAACCACTGTAAAATGATACAGTAAAACTTGAGCATGTGAAAACTCACTATAAAATGTGTATATATATTATAGTTCACTTACTATGTTCCGACAATCCTGGCTGTAGTCACTTCCAAGACATTTTGCTTGAAAATTCTTGCCATGCCAAAATCAGAAATTTTAGGGTTCATGTTATTATCAAGTAATATGTTGCTAGCTTTCAAATCTCTATGAATTATCTTCAATCTCGAGTATTGGTGGAGATAAAGTAGTCCTTGAGCTATTCCTTCAATAATGATGAAACGTTTCTCCCAAGTTAATTTCTCCTTTTGAGAAGGATCTGTTCAAAATTTAAGTTTGAATTTCAAATGATAATTTTTATTTATTTGTTTATGAAATATTGGATATGAACTACATTTACTGTTAGTAACTAATGATGCAAAATAATGTAGCAAACAAGAGTAAATGTATTGCTAACCAAACAAAAAGGAGTCCAAGCTTTTGTTGACCATATACTCATAGATTAACATTTTCTCATCTCCTTGAATACAACATCCCAAAAGACGGACTAGATTCACATGTTGGAGTTTGGCAATGAGTATGAGCTCATTTTTGAACTCCACTACTCCTTGTCCTGACGTTCTTGACAATCGCTTTACTGCAATTTCTCTGCCATTGGTCAACCTTCCCTGAAGTAAATGATCATTAGTAAGGTAACTTAATGCTAATGCAATAATCTTTTACTGAAATATTCAATTGTTTTTTTCCTAGAGTAGTGTTATACAAATGAATAGCTTTACAACCACCCTCTAAGCCAAAAATGCCATCTTTTCTTTTGTTTTCATGATTTCTTCCTTTTAACTAGAATGAAAAATGACAACTCAATTTTAGATGACTTTTTTATCCGTTTGATTTATTCTACCTGATTTTGTTTGTACTAGCTGTTCATAACAATAAGTTCTAATATACCTTGTAAACAGGTCCAAAGCCGCCTTCCCCAAGCTTGTTTTCCAATGAGAAGCTATTTGTAGCAGCACTGATGCTTCCAAAACTAAATATTTTTAAATCATTGCTCTTGTTCGTCTCGTTTTCAAGTTTATTTGTGCCCGTTTGTGCATTGGCTAGTGTCATTAATTCAATTAGATCATTCATCTCTGTTGTTTCGCCCCTCCCTACTTTGATTCACAATTGACATACAAAAACCAAACATGTCATCAACAAAGATTAAGAGGAATTTCAATGCAGACATGATCTACTCTTTGTTAGAGGGTATACCTTGTAATCTAATTGTTCTCCTTTTTAGGTAGCACAAGAGCCCGAAGACAAGCATAACAAATATTGGAATAGCCACAACAATGGGAATCCATTTGATCTTCTTTTTCCCTCCTACATATTCAGCTGTAAAATGGTAAACTTAAAATAAAAAATGTAGAGCATGGTTCAAATCTTAAAAAGAGTAATGCTATTGAGGGGAAAACTTATGATCGTGCGTGCGTGCACAAAACAGAGATTTGTCTCTGTTCTGCACACCATTTCTATGCACATAGTACAGCTGTTTAATAAACTTACTATTTGAAATAAGAACATAATGCTTGGGCGAAGCACTGCCAGACAAATCCTGATGGAACTCTTGATTTCTCCAAAACATGCATCCAGTCTCACCGATATAATCCTTATATCCAACGCAATCACAATCATCCCAGCAAATTTCTCTGCAATCGCTGCTACCAAGGCTTGTGTTTTTGTCATAAAAAGACGCTTTATCACTACTGTCATTAAAATAACCAGTTCTTAAATCAAATGTTTGGGAATGATGACCCCTGCACTGAGGCTGCTTCCACAATTCACACCCATTATCTGTGTTGTACCCATAACAAAGACTAACTTGTGCCATCAGACCCCTATCTCCATCATACATCAAACCTTGGTAATCTAACAACCATCCTGATATAAAATTTCGAGATTTAATTAAATCAAATAGATATGGAACCTTTATGAGTGAATAACTGAAGTACTCCTCATCCTTGGTAGTAACATTGGTGAGGTTATAATTCCCTTGTACTAAATTAGTCTTTAGAAACTCAAAGTCTGTGTTATCCAAGAGGGCTCCACTAGTCCAATATATCATCCCTCGCCTCCTGATGGTCAACCGTCGTGTATTGGGATCCCAATCCATGGTGAAAGCTCCGGGAGACGGTATGTCTTGACTTAACCATGACGTGAGTGACCAGTTCCGGCCAGTCCTGTGGTTGACCCCTAGCTTCATCCCCGGCAGAAGCGTGTCGGTGGGATAGTCAAAACTTTCCCACAATACCCTCTGGTTGGTGGATCCATTGTTGTTGTTCACTTCTTCTGTCACTAAGAAATTGCCAGAATCCAAGAGAGTAGCAGTGATGTTGGTGGTGGTACTGGTTTGACCGCCATATATCTCAATAGGAACCCCACTGTTATGTCTGATGATCAACTTGCCGGTGCTGTCTATGGTGAGAACACCAGAATTGTCGGTAATCGGCTTGTCTCTGTTGCCAATCCATGCCGGGGGATATGAATAATTGGAATACCATATTCCTAAGTAACTGTTATTGGAATATTCTTCTGACAAAAACAAGTTTGTTTTAAAGAATCCCAAAGTGAAGAGTTTATTTGCAGAAACGAGAAAAGTGGAGGAAGAGGAATTGATTGTTTCGCCTGGATTGAGTGTGTGGGATGATGATGATGATGCAGCAGCAGCAAGAGAGGCTGAAGAGAAGAAGCACGAGAAAATGGGAAGAAAGAAAAATAGGATCATGAGACTGATCTCCTTGCCAGCCATAATTAATGAACAAGTATTAACAATAACACATTAAAGCTGTGTTTTTGGGAAAATGTATGGACCCCTTTGGGTGACCCCATACTTTCAAAGTGATATGGTCAAACCATATCACTTTCTCATATGGAGCTCATTCATGTATATGTAGAGTTTATATTATAAATGGTCTAAATTTATGCACGTTCAAAAAAAAAAAAAACAAAAAAATCTAAATTTATGGAGTCTCAATCATTACTCGTGTTTTTAACGTTGTTTAATATATGAATAGAAAATAGTGTTGGAAATGGTAGAAAAATTTTGAATAAAATCATAGTTTTTTTTTAAGTTTGATCTATTTTTTAGGTGAGCCCGTGCATCGATTTACACGGATCAAAGTGGTAACGCGTTCTATGCCGCGTTGTGATTCACGTGGTATATTTGGTTGCTCAAAACCATTACCGAGTGAATGGGAAATTGAAACCAAAGTGTGCTCCATGAAAATAGAATTTTTGTAAAAATTCCTTAAGGTTGTAAATTGGCTTGTCTCACATTGATTTGGTGGGAAGTTTTGAAAGGGTTTATAAGGCTTAGGTGAGATACTTGGGGTGTGCCCCAAGGGGTATCCAAGTGTTTTAGAGGGAGAGGTTATGGGTAAAATGAGCTAGACCCATTGGACCTAAAAATTACCACACGCACGGGCGGGCTGGGTTGGGCTTGTTCGGCCTAATACTAATCTTTTTGGGCCAAAAATATTTGAATTTTATTTTATTTTTTGGTAAAATAAAATCAAGAATTCAAATTAAACTGATTTGAATTTTCTGTACATCCAAACAGGGCCCTTCCCGTTTTCAAACAGAGATAAACTAGTTTGGAATTAGTGCACACCCAAACAGGGCCCTTCCCGTTTTTAAAACCAAGAGAATTCAAAACCAACAGGTATCATACCTGTTCAATTCAAAACCAAGAGCCACCTTTACATCTATAAATAGAACAAGAGCCACATACCTGTTCAATTCAAAACCAAGAGCCACATACCTGTTCAATTCAAAACCAAGAGCCACATACCTGTTCAATTCAAAACCAAGAGCCACATACCTGTTCAATTCAAAACCAAGAGCCACATACCTGTTCAATTCAAAACCAAGAGCCACATACCTGTTCAATTCAAAACCAAGAGCCACATACCTGTTCAATTCAAAACCAAGAGCCACATACCTGTTCAATTCAAAACCAAGAGCCACATACCTGTTCAATTCAAAACCAAGAGCCACATACCTGTTCAATTCAAAACCAAGAGCCACATACCTGTTCAATTCAAAACCAAGAGCCTTATTTTTTTTTTGTAACAAAATAAAATCTGTTATTTTATTTATTTATTTTTATTTCGAGTTTGATTTTTGTAATCAAACAAATTCTCTCCTTTTCTTTATTTCTTTAAATTCTAATTGTTGTTGTGTACACAATAGAATTAAATCTTTTAAATACAGTGAAGATTGTCCAACAATCTTAAGACATAATCGTTTTTTGGTATCTTCATTGTATTTAATTTTCTGTGTTTTCAAAGTAATATTCTGGTTGGAAAAACGAATAGTGATTTATGCTATTTGACAGATAGTAGTAATATACTGTCTCTTTTCTTTGACAATTAGTAGTAATATACTGGTGTCATTAACAATTGCAGAATATTATTTGGTATTACAGAAGATTATTGTGATATTTTATTTTTCTAGTTTTAGTAACAAGGAAAATAAAATTATTTTGTTGTTATAATTTATTTTCTGGTTTTAGTAACTAGAAAATTAATTTGTGTTTTAATTTTTTCTGATTTTTGTAATCAGAGATTATGGCTACTACAACTGAAACTGCATCTGGCAGTGGTACTCCTATTGTTACACCTACATCGGTCCCTATCCAGAACCATGTTCATGTACCAATCAATCATGGAGAAAAAATGGAAAAATTTAACGGTACCGAGTTTAAGAGATGGCAACAGAAGATGCTGTTCTATCTTACAACTCTTAATTTGGCCCGGTTTCTCCATGAAGAGGCTCCAGCACTTAAAGAGGGCGAAAGTGATCGGCAAGTTGTTCTCCATGAATGTAATGACAGTTGTACCGAAAGTTGCTATGAATAAGAATAACACATCTTTTGTTTATATTCTTGAGTCAAATTTATGGCATGGTAGATTAGGACATGTGAATTTTGATGCTTTGCGTAGATTAATTGGTTTAGATCATATACCAAAGTTTGAAATTAATGAATTGTGGGATTCTTTGGAGAAGAAATACAAGACAGAAGATGCCGGCACGAAGAAATTTGTCGTCGGTAAATTTCTAGATTTTGTTATGGTAGACTCCCAAACGGTAATATCTCAAATTCAAAGTTTTCAAATAATTTTACATGATATTCATTCAGAAGGTATGTCTCTTAGCGAGTCATTCCAAATCGCTGCTTTAGTGGAAAAGTTACCACTGGCTTGGAAAGATTTCAAAAATTATTTAAAACATAAACGCAAAGAGATGACTATAGATGAATTGATTGTAAGATTAAGAATTGAGGAAGATAATCGAAAGGCTGAAAAGAGGAATCAGAAAAATTCCATTGAGTCCAAGGCTAATGTGGTTGAACAAGTTCATAAACCACATAACAAAAAGAGAAAGTTTACTGGAGATGGTCCTAAACAAGGCGATAGTAGCAAGAAGTTCAAAGGAAAATGCTATAACTGTGCCAAAACTGGGCATCGAGTTTCTGACTGCCGCCGCCCTAAGAAGAATCATGGAAGTACAAGTAAGAAGACCACCAATCAGGCCAATGTAACCGAATTGGATTACATCTCTGACGGAGTGAATGACATCAACCTATTTGCTGTGGTGTCTGAGGCTAACTTGGTTGGAAATCCCAAAGAGTGGTGGGTTGACACTGGAGCAACTCGTCACATTTGTGTGGACAAGAAGATGTTCACTATCTACAATGAGGCTGCAAATGGTGAACAACTTTTCATAGGAAATTCTTCTACTTCTACTGTGACTGGACAAGGAAAAGTTATCTTGAAGATGACATCAGGGAAAGAACTGACCCTCAACAACGTACTGCATGTACCTGACATCCAGAAGAATTTAGTTTCTGGGTCTTTGTTAAGTAAAAATGGTTTTAGGCTTGTATTTGAGTCTGATAAATTTGTATTAACAAAGAGTGGTATGTATGTTGGTAAATGATACATGAGTGATGGTCTCTTTAAGTTGAATGTAATGACAATTGTACCGAAAGTTGCTATGAATAAGAATAACACATCTTTTATTTATATTCTTGAGTCAAATATATGACATGGTAGATTAGGACAAGTGAATTTTGATGTTTTGCGTAGATTAATTGGTTTAGATCATATACCAAAGTTTGAAATTAACCCTAATCATAAATGTGAAATTTGTGTAAAAGCGAAACTAACTAATGCTCCATTTAAATCGGTTGAAAGAAAAATCAAACCTCTAGAATTAATTCATATTGATGTATGTGATTTAAAATTTATTCAAACTAGAGGAGGCAAAAAGTATTTCATAACATTTATCGATGACTATACAAGATATTGTTATGTTTATTTACTTAGAAGTAAAGATGAAGCCTTAGAAATGTTTAAACTCTACAAAACAGAAGTTGAAAATCAACTTGGTAAAACCATTAAAATGGTTAGAAGTGATAGGGGTGGTGAATATGATGCACCATTAAATGAATTTTGTGCAAATTACCACTAAAAATCCTCTGGATTTCAGTGGTTCTAAGGCCACGAAAAGTTGTTTTGAAAGGCCTTAGAAGATGGCTCAAAAGCTATACAAGTCAAAGAGCAAAAGGGAGGAAACACCTCCTAGCCAAACAAGGCACAAACCAACACTTTGAGGACTGAAAAATAGAGTTTCATCAGCCAAAGATTATTGCCAAAAGCAGTTTGCAAAGGTGGCAAAACTAGTGTGCAAGAAAGAGCTTAAAAGGGATAAGAGGTTACCTTTGAAGCACAGCAGCAAGAACATCCCCAATTCTGAGTTAAAACCACCTTTTGGAGCTCAAATAGAGTCCCAAGCTCAATATATGAGATTTGGTTTCAATATATAGAAAAAATGGAGCATTTGGTTAAAATATCTGAGCTAGGACAGGTGGCACAACCTGGAAATAGCTGGAGGACAAAATAGCTCAAAAAATATGAGTTTTGGACATAAGTGGTCGGTAGGCTACTTTAAGTGGCCGGCCGGCTACCTCAGTTGGCTGGCTGGCTACTTTTCTGGCCGGCTGGCTACTTTTCTGGCCGGCAGCAAAAATCTACTCTGCAGGTCAAACTTTAAATGGGAATAACTCCTTCATCTGGACTTCTTTTCAGGTCATTCTTGTGTCCAAATTGAAGCCCCATAAGTAAGATTTCCAATGGTGGTAGCCTCACATCAAAATTCCATGTGTGTTAAGAGATATTCCTCTTTTAGGGAAGACTGCTCAGTTTCAGTCCAACCGGATTGATGCCTAACTTCAACCAGCCATATCTCCCTCATCTGACCTC